CTCAATCGGTAACACGGCGCTTGGCTCCGCAACAGGCTGCAACAGGACGCAGGCATAAACGAACTTTCGGTCTCGGTTGATACATCGATTTCGTCAAGTATATTTCGTAGTCATTACACATTCACGCACCCTACTTCCACCAACATACTTCAAGTTAAATCCAGTCTACCAACGAATCATATCCTGCGGGTCTTGTCACATTCAACCAACCATTCGATGTTGTCTTAAACGGGACTATTTTGACTATAGGGCTCTGCGTTTTCACAGTACCAAACGGAGTGTTCGTGGCCACTTGCATAAAATCGGGATCTTTCCACAGATGCGGATGTAGTCGGTTTATACTGGCGATAGCGGCCAAGCCTACATCATCAAAATTGCTTTGGCGGCTAAGCTTTTGAGAATGCTCGAGTCCGTGTGCACTGGCTATCCTTCTCTAGATTTCTTCTGGGTACGATCTGAGCGACATAAGCCAATCATTATACTTGACGAGTGAGACGCTCGTATAGTAACTTCCACCTTTGGTCAGTCGGTGATGCAATGCATTCAATGTTGCAATACAGCCAAGCTCCCCTGCGCTGGATCAGGCATCAGTCAACTACAGTGACGCGGCCCAAGAAAACGCAGGAAATATACCCAAAATCGGCTAGCGGAAATGGAGGCGCGACGGGCTCTTCTAGACCTAGTGCTTGCCCGTTCGCCCACGATACACCGGTTACCTAAGGTCAATCACCTCAATAGATCCACAGTATAAAGTAATGAAGGTGCACACTGAGTCGGCGATCTGCTGCCATCCAGGTCTATCCGACCACTCGCCTCCATCTCCATAACAGCTTTCTTTGACATAAACAAAGCCTCGTTTTCCAGAAAAACGTTTCCGCAATTCGTCAGGTCCATAGCCTAATTTTGCAATGGCTCCTGGGCGATATCCATCTACAATCACGTCTACGTCTTCAAGCAACTTCTCGAAAGCCTGTCTACCTTCTGAACTTTTCAGGTCCAGATCGATTGTTCGCTTCCCAAAGTTGAAATCAACTGCATAGTATGATTGATCAGGAAGGTTATGGTTTGTGACTCGCAGAACCTGAGCACCGTATTCAGCGAGAGTTCTGCTGATCACAGGTCCTGCGATTACTCGAGACAGATCGAGAATTTTTACACCAGATAGAATGTTAGGTCCCTCGAGCGAAAGCTTCAGGGTTGGAGACGTGCTTTCTAATTGGGATAATTCGAAAAGAGGTCTTGACGAAATATGTTTACCCTAAGTAATTGAGCTGGTGAGCCATGACACTTGAGTACGTTCACGTTCAATTCTCACATGAGAAGAAGCTAGAAACTCTGCCCTAGTCAAGCAGGGTGACCCAGCCTGCTTGATATCTCGAATCATTTTATCGAGATCTTCGGATGTATACCGCTGAGTGGATACTTCAATCGCTCTTTGGGCGACTTTCTTCTCATTTTTCCCTTCGTCATACGGCGGTAGACCCAATGCTTTTAAAGTGGGTGTGGCATCAAGACTGGATAACCCATTCAATAAAGAGACGCCCCTCTATTTCAACTAATCATCATACCTTGCGTGCAGATGGTAGAAGCCCCCGTCCTTTGTGCGATATATATTGGTGAGCATGCGCCGGTATATGTTACTGTATACATGATTGAGATCGGTATCTATTCTGTTTGTGAGCACTCGGTAGATACCATCGTCGACAGACATACCCATAATCTTATTCTTCATCTCCGAGCCCCACTTTGGTATTCCGTCTACGGTAGACAGGAAGCTCATTGCGGGGAATAATGCAGCATGATTACAGTTCACCAATGCTTTAACCTTTGTGTCTTCACCAAATCGTTTCTTGCATAGCGCTACTGCGATCATTCCCTCCAACCCTTTCAACGCTGCGAAGGATTCATGCGCTTTCAGAACAATAGGTATCAAAGGCTCGGCCGAGTCGGTAGAAAATTCGACAGAGTCAACAAGTTCCCGAATTCCAGGAAGCACAGGTAGATCCTTGTCGAAGGTCGACAGTAGAACCTCTTTGCTTGCTTCGATGGTGGAGTACAAAGCCATGTTGTGTCAGTTTATTTACAACAGTCCTGACTATTGAACATGTGTGAGCAATCTATTCGCTCGGCCCCGACATGGACATGACCTTATAATTAGTACATCAGCGTATCCCAGTCATATCCCTTGTATTAGAGTATTTGTTGATGTTCCGGCCAACTGTGTATTCCGAATACCGATACTAGCCTCCTGAAGAAAGCTGGAAGAAAGCGGAGGGATGGGTAATTTAAGTTTCCATCTCTATTCGCCATTAGCATGCGCAAGATCTACGCATGATGATGCTGTGAGCTGTACTTATCATCCGTCAACCAGGATGATTTCTAAACACACAAAATCTCAAAGTGGTGGTGTAGCTGAGGGTAAGAGGGACGGAAGAAGAGGAACGTTCATAGGCGCCTAACATTGGCGTTATCGGTCTATCCGAATTTACCTATTGTCATTCTCTTCTAATGTCTTCAAAAGTGTAGATGCAATGGAAGCACCCTTCAGGCGCTTCCACAAAAAATGCAAGAATGTTTGGCTATCACCTTGCTTGCAAGGTCTATTCTATCCCGGAATTGGACAATTTTTTGATCTGCAGGCACATTTTGCTCTTATTTATCTTCCGCGCCGCAGTACTTCAAAATAAATAAATGTAGACACAATAACTGACTATTTGTTGTTTCACTGCAGGGATGAAGGACTTTTCTCATGGAGAATAGGTTAAAATTTTTGAGAATTTTATAAAAAATTGTAGCTGAGATTATTTTGGAACAATCTGCTAAGGATTAGGTTGAAAATAATTGCGTTTCCTGCCATGTTCATGATTGTTTCATGGAGAAAATTTTAAAAAGTCTCAGCAAACTCTAACAGAGAATTTTTGGAGAGTTTTGTACCTAATCTTTCCATAATCACTACAAGATTAGGGTTTCATCCCTGCAGTGTTTGTCATTCATTGCACTTCTATGCATGAGACAATGCTCTTGATGTCTTCACAAAATACTGAATATTAATCTCCCTTCTCTTCTACATTCTTTACATCTCTTGTATTCTGACATTATAATTCTTCTTTGTCTACTTTAATCACTGCTTTCCTCACACTATAACTACACTCTTTTGCCTCTTCTGTGACCTCTGCCCATTTCACTGTCTACTACATACAAGTATTACACAGTCCACCTCCAAGGTAATCTGCTCACTGTCAGTGTTGTTTTGCTTTCACTAAATCAACTTGCACAGGGTCTATGTTTTTTGCTCCTTTGTTGATCCCCTCGGTATGTCAATGAATGTAACCATAATGGAAACATGCCAATTCCACAACACCCCCAGACAGACATCCATATTGTTCAGCTTGACTGTCATATCTTGATTCTTGTACAACTCAACATGTATGACCCGTTTAAGCCATAGCTTACCTGTGCAGTCAGTCAAGAAATTCCACAACCTCTAACCAAAATTAACATCAATGACTTTTGTACATCTTTAATCTTAGACACAAACCCTCACTATTTGCATGCAACTAAAATGTCCAAGGCAGTTGCAAATAGATCCCCCTCTTAGTCTCTGTCAGATGGGGTCTATCACTGTCATAAAGTATGCAGCTCCTATCATTTTCCTTTTCTCACTGTCTCAACACCTTTACTTGTACAATACATCATCCCATTAATTACTGATCCACCTGACCCACCTTCTCCTTCTACCAGCTTCCGCCATCTTCCTTGCTCCTGAAATGTACAGTATTACATCGTTGTTTCTCACAGACTGGAATATGTATATATAGCCAACCTCCCACAGCCTGGTCCCTTATCTTGACCTCTCTGTCATGATCTGGGACTGTTAAGATCATGTACACCGTGAAGCTGTGCCAGAGGCCACAAGGTGTTTAAGGGCGGAGGGTCGAATGGGACAGTAGTGAAGTTATTAACAACACCGCCGTTATGCTGCTAGTCTCCGGAGATCAAGAGTAGAGAAGGAGAGAGCCAGAAGCAGCCAAGTCAGAGCGGCAGTATCGCCGATGACGAGGAGTGAACAAAAGGACGTCGAAGTTCTGAGGTTAGAGTAAGGAGAACTTCAAGGCAATGAGCCTAAAGACTAGAGAGGGACAAGAGCACAGAGGAAGTCTCAAGTCAAAGACATTAAGAGGATAATCTAAGTTGATAGTTAAACTGAGGAACTACAGTATTGTACAGGCAGTATTTATACATACAGTTTGGCACATTGGGGCAGAGCACCAGTCTAACTACTAGGAGCTATACGTGTAGTACCTGCAGGGTAGAAATAAGACAATAAGGGAGAGCCTAGGTAGAAAGGGAATGTGTAGCAAGAAAGAACAATAAGGATGAGATTACAATCAACAGTAGATATTGGAATACCGAGCAGCAGAGCGGGGCACCAAGGCATGGGCTTGACAGTATCCCCCTCTTAGGCTTGAGCCCTTGAAAGCCGATAAGACCATAAGACCAAAAAGACCAAAATTGATCCCATCAATAATTATTAGTCAAGGAAAAAATTTCTGTCACCGTAAACCGAACACAATTTGAAGGAAATTTTTAGCTGGTCCATGTGCTGTTTTGTCCCTATAAAAGGGCCAGGGTTTTACCGCTGTGGGCCTAACTTTTCCAAAACTTTGAAGTCCACCATGTTTGCCAGCCGCACTCAAACCACTACCACCACTTCTTCCACCGCCGGCCCTTTGAGGTCTCGACCTGTTCCATCAGCTCCCGCCAATCCTGCCATCCATGAGGATGACGAAGAAGAAATCCTGTGAAAGGCGCAAGAATGGGTTCGAAGAGTGAGAGCGAGGAAGGCGGTAGAGGCAGCAAAGAGGAAAGCCGAGGAAGAGGCTGCAAGGGCAGCAGTAGTGAGAAAGAAGGCGCGGGAGCGGGCCCTCAGGCCACAACGACAAGAGGAGGAGAGTGTTGGCTGCTGCGGCGACAGCAAGGAGCCAGCAGGGGACTTCGCCCAGTGAGGTTTTGGTATTCCTGCGGAGGCCAACTGTGGAGATAACCAGAGTGAGGAAAGGCAAAGGGAAGGAAAAGGCCAAGGCCCAGGTAAGTGGTAATGCCATTTACTTGAGCATTGTTTAACCACTTCTTTCTTTTAGCCTGTGGGTGGAGATCCTGATGACAGCGGCGATGGTGACAACGATGAAGACAATGATGGCAAAAGGGCTCCCTGTGAACAATGCAGGAGCAAGAAGATCCCTTGCCAGATGCAGGCTGGCAAGAGGAGTTTGATTATCTGTAAACCCTGCCACGATGCCAAAGTACAGTGCTCATACTCTGGACGGCCCTCAGTGGTGAAGTGCAAAGGGGTCGTGAATCTGACTGGCAAACGACTGGTGGTCCTCGAGAGCCAGATGGCTTAACTACTCGCTGACAACCGGCAACTCCAAGAGGGCCAGGTAAAGGCAAACACCTATCATTGCCACTTCAACTGGAAGCTGGATTGGTTGATGATGGATGCAGCAAGAAGGAGGAATTCGCCCCTGGAAATGCCGGAGGCCGGACCATTGGGGTTGTCAAAGAAAAGGAGAAGGGTTATGGATAGCGACGAGAAAGAGGAGAAGGAAGGGGAAGAAGCAGAAAAAGAAGTAGAAGTCAAGGAGGAGGAAGGAGGAGAGGGTGAGGTGCTGGCGCCGAAGAAGGCAAGGATGGCGGCCTCAGAGAAAGGCAAGGAGAAGGAGGTAGAGAAGGAGGTAGAGTAGTGCAGTATCGGACATCAAAATTGGACTCCCTCTTGTCTTCTTCCATCTTGTTGTAGCCTACTATTTTTTTGATTTTGTATATAAAAATATCAACACTTTTGAGACTGAAAGGAAATGGGCCACGAGGCGGCAAAAGGAATAATTACTTTGAAATATAGGTAGTAAAGGATAAAGTGAATGAAATAATTAGTCAGTAAGGAAGGATAGAAGTGCGTAATATGAGGATGAGAAGAAACAATACAAGGAAGCGGATAAACACTCAATTTGCTATCATTGTGTTTACCTTCTCGATAACGAGCTTGCCTCATTTTTGTGTGAAAGAGAAAGGAAGGAATCAAATGGGCACTCCAACTAACCAATCTAATACACAATATGCAAGTTCACTGCTATCAGATTTATTTAATAGCAAGGGGTAGCGTTGTCAAAGATTCCACAAAGCTTTGAGAGCTAGGGAAGAAGCTTCGATCAATCAATTTGAATCATTCTAAGGATTCGGTATATTCCTTTGATCAAGGTAGATTCAGCACTATTGGTGCTTTAGTTGTATTGATATGGGTATATCAAGAATTGGGGGTTTTTAAATCAAAGTAAATTAAAACCAAAACACACAGACCCCTACAGAGGGCTAAAACTATGTGCTGGCACAACCACACAGTGTGATTTGCCCTTAAGACCAATGACTGATCCTAAGTTCGAAGAATACCCAACAGCTGGATATAACTTCTCGCAGTCACAAGGAGTAGAACACGACGTTCCTATACTCACAAGTGCCGGGCCTGAATAGCTGCTAGCAAAGAGGTTTCAGTCTGGCGGGAGTGTGTCTTTCCTTTTTACAGATTAGCACTGCAATGTTGATACAACCCAAAATAATCTGAACTCGAAATGTCAAAACTTCAGCAGTTCATATAGAGGTTCAGTGGTATATCTACAATTCTACAGTACATTGTGGTTTGATACAGATTGCACAGATGTTCACTGAAGATGATTCAAATAAGATTCTCGGCAGTATAACACAATTGTACTCACTCAGACCACTAAAACCCATTCTTTATGTTGAGTGTACATTGCTTAAAGCATATTACATGTATATCAAAGACTAATTGTACCAAGCAAGTAAGACAGAAGTAGAGACTAGTAATTATGGGCTGACATACTGCATATGCTCAGATTTCCAGAGCAATAGCTAAAGCAGCTCAAAAGCATAATAGACTCGGAATGTATGACAGATATCTGATGCAACCAGGCACAATGGAACAATAGCTAAAGCAGCTCATGCCTGACAGATATCTAATGCAACCAGGCACAGTGGCACAATAGCTAAAGAACCTCAACTACATGTTTATTATGATTAGTACCTGATGTTCATGTGAGTCTCGGAGTTTATCTGGGAGTCAGATGGTTCAATAAAATATACACATGGTTACCTCGGAACAAGATATTCCGAACCATGTGCAGCATAATAAAACCCTAGACCCTGGGCTAGTTCTAGGCCCCCAAAATTGCATATATACCAGTAAAAACCTCGAAACAGAAAAAGCTTGCTCCACCCCCACTTCTGTAGAGATTGCTAGTCCTACAACTTGAAGGGAGTTTAGTTTCAGCATAGAAAGAATACACTTGATTAGACAGAAAGAATTGTATAACTCAGAAAGATTGTACTATTTGACTTAAAGAAAGAAAGTAAAGTTCTTCAGTACAAGCAAGTAAAGTT